TACCATATTCCTCTTTATTCTGTTTTAAATAAAAAAGCCTATCTTTTGTGCTTTAATTCCTTCAAAAGCCATCATTGAGTTTAAGTTATACATATATAAGTAATGACATTTTGTATTTTAATGAATGCAGGAAAAACATATTTTTATGTATAAAGTATGCAAAAAATCATGTCTGAAATCTAAACTGGGCTGATTCAAGTGCAATTCCATTATGCTTTGACATCTACAATGTTCTATACCTTAATGTTAATTTTAACTATGAATTCTTTGCAGAATTGTAAATGTCATTTGACTATGTCAATCTGTATATATTGTACCTTAATATGAAATAATTTTTTAAATTATAAAAGCATTTTCCTTGGTTAGATTTCATATGCATGACAATCCCATAAATAATATGAGCTTATTTTACTATTTGAAGATGTCCAGAGTGTGGACAAATAATTTCGCAGGTTTAAACCTGCCTTTATGGAGGAAGTCTCATAAGACAGTGAATTTTAAAAGGACTGGGAAAATTTTTTCTCTCTAACATGACCAGGTGTTTCACAAAATTGCCATATCAAAATGATTTACATGTTGTGAAAACCTCTGATTTTTATGTCAGTCAATAAAACATAAATTTCCACAAGACCATTCGGATGTGCTCAGGAACATGGTCGCATTAGCAATGACTGTGTTTTGTTGTCCCTAGGGTAGGAAAAATGGCTTTTTTTTGGTCTTCAAAGGTATTCTGAATGTAGCATACGCATCACACATTATTTGTAAAATGGGTATTTCCTATTTAGTGCACCCGTAACACGGAAGTTATGTTTACAGTGCACTCCTCGTGAGTGCTCATTGTACCGTATCTTTGAAACATTTGTACGTAAATAAATTGAAAACCGCTTCATGCTGCATTGAAGCAGCATGTGACTGTGCATGTAGTTGTCTAGGTGTGTATGTACGCACGTACTCCAGGTCCCCCAGGGAAAGCCAGGTGTGACATGGTTAGCCGGTAGGGTGAGCATCAGTCTTGTCCCTGACGCTCCGCTCCTTCCCAGGGCACTGCGGTGTGAAGGGTGGGCTGTCCATCAGAGATTACCCTCCCCGGGAGGAAGCCTACAAAAGTCACGCCACGGACCGTCAGAGGGAAGACCCTCCACGCACAGGAGACGACGACTATGTAAACCGCCACGTGAGCAGGAGAGAGCAGCAGGGTCTTCCGTGGCCCTGAGGAGCATTCTGCCACCTGATGGACAGGACCCTGTTCCTGAGGTGGCCTAGCTCCCAGGAAAGTCTGTCCTTCCTTCCTTCCCTCCTTCCTTCCATCAAAGAGGCTCTGAGCCAATGGCCTTCCTAAGATGTGCCCCAGCGTTGGCGTCCAGGGCACACTCATCCCCGAAGTTCTCACAGTTCCCCACTCTGCTCCGTACGCGCTGCCCTCACTCACTCACTCACTCACTCTCGGGGAGGAAGCCTGGGGACCATTTCCTATCTCTCCCAGCCCTCCGCCCTCCCTCAGGGTCCTAGGGACCGGCCACAGGCCACGGGGGACGGGCTTTTCCAGGAGGTTGAACGCAGTGTCAAGAGGAGAGAGCAGCGTGTTTGACTGTTTATCCCGACCCAGGCCTTTTCCTGGGAACTTCAGCTGCCTTCTTCCTAACACCCTACCCTGGGATCGGGAATGGATGGCTTAGTGGTGATTCCCACCAGCTGCGACTTAGATGTGTCCTGTTAGAACGCAAGGCAGCAGGTAGGGACCCGAGAGCTGGTTAGGACGTGCATTTGGACTGAATCCTTTACCGCAGATCAAACCAGATTCTAAACACCCTCCTAAGAAGTCTTCTCTTTCTTTTACTGAATGTGCTCTCCCCCAAAATGTAAAACCAAACAAGGAAGTCTCCGGAGGTAGAAATTCTAATAAAACTGTGGAAGCCTTCCACACTGCGGGAAAAGTGACCGAGGGTAGCTGGAAACTGACCCACACACGGTGGGACTTACCATGTTCATCTGGGAAGCCAAAGGGACTGTGAACAAGATGGCGTCTCACAGGAGTGGTTCCAGTTGAAGAAAATGTCTTAAATACGAACCTAACATTTCCAAAAGATGGAAGAGAACCGCCTTTCAGGATGCCAGCCTGCTGTGGTTTCCCTTCAGTGAGAGCGTGGGGGATGGCGGCAGCCCGTGGGCACATTTAGATGGAAGAAACGGGTCGCTAAACCCCAGACCAGTTTCTAAGTGAAGGTCTTCCTTCTCCACAGCTCGGTCTCAAGGAAGGACGCCGGTTTGTAAGAAACATTAACGGCTGTTTATGGACCTGGGCAAGATGGTCTGTGGGCCAATGTACAAGGATCATCGTTCAGAATAAATGTTTTTATTTATAGATGTGATGTGTAAATAAACACTGTCCGGCTGCCTAGTGACTCTTTTCATTTCTAATGAGGAAAATATCACAGAGTACAGTCACCATTCCTACCAGCTCTCTGGGGAAGACCTGTTGCTCGCCGAGGTGAGTTGTGTTTAACTGCACCCTTACGGTGATCTGGGCTCATTCTGCGCTAATTAATTTGCTTTGTGTTTTCCACGGGATGTGGCACAGGTGATGTTAATAAACGGTTGTTGAATGGGATTGAGAAGAAAAAACAGCCCAAGAATGGATACGACAACCACTTTAATTTACTTTCCATTGAAGTATCAGCTAAGGAGGCGATTTTGTCCCTTTAACGTGGCAAAGGTGGCGGCAGCCCTTCTTCAAGTCCATGAGGGGTTTCCAAGGTCACCTGTCCAGGTCCGGACAGGCGCCGTCTCAGGGCCGAGAGAAGGTGTTCCAGGCTGCGTCCCCTGGGTTGGTTTCCTACTTGCCAGCGTTGCCTATATTTGCCGGAATATTTTTAAAGCAAAGTTAAAATCAGTGTGTTTAGTAATTATGTACGCAACCCCCCATGTTTCTGATATATCAAAGGTGCGCACAGCGCAGGGCCGCAGGCGGAGATGGGCTCATCACCACAGTAGCCATAAATAAGAGCTCCGGGAGGCGCCAGCAGGGCCTAAAAATACCCGCGGCTTATTTTCATCCGGAAGATGACTCAGCTGTTTTTAAATGTTTCAGAAACAGCTGAGGCCACTGCACACGACTCCAGAAGCCTTGCTGTGGCACGCGCCGTGCACACCCGCTGCTGGAACTCTGAGCAGCCAGCCGGCCACCCAGGCCCTGCAGCTCACTCACTTCTCAAGGGACAGTCCCGTTGCAACTAAGAAATCTATATTCTTTGGCCCATCATGTTGCTTATGCTAGATTTAGGTAAACTGATCGAGGAAGTTAAGTGTTAGAAAAAGAAAAAAAAAACAGCTTGCCCGGTGTGGCCCAGTGGTTGAGCATCAACCTAGAAACCAGCACCCAGATGGCTCCCACAGTAGGAGGGCCTCTGCTTGGGAAGCTCCCCTGATGGGGCCCCATCTCTCTATCAAGAGCACAACAACGCCCTGGCCAGTTCGGCTCAGTGGATAGAACGTCGGCCCATGGACTGGAGGGTCCCAGGTTCCATTCCGGGCAAGGGCATGTACTTCAGTTGCAGGCTCAGTCCCTAGCTCTGGTTGGGGCATGCGCAGGAGGCAATCAATTGATGTGTTTCTCTCACATCGGTGTTTCTCTCTTTCTGTCTCTCCCTCTCCCTTCCACTCTCTTTAAAAATCAATGGAAAAATATCCTTGGGTGAGGATTAACAAGAAAACAAGAGCAAACGACGAGTCAACCAACTGTGGCATCATTTTAGACCGAAGGCTGAGACCAGCATTTTAACTCTTTTTAAAAATGTCAATGAACACAGCAAAACAAACAAACCAAAAAATCCCTTTTCACAGATAGAAAGTTAAAGGTCACAGCAAAAGCACGTACATAGAACAGAAACGTCCCGCGGCCGTGGATTCGCTGCTTTGGGCTTGTGGCGAGAGACCGGGGCAGAGATGTGGTCCAGAGTGAGCTCTCCCACGGTCGGTTTGACTTCAAACCTGCCTGTAAAATAGACACAAACGTCGTTTCTTAGGAATTCACGGTGGCCATTGGCAAAATAAAGCCCCGCGATTTAGAAATTCAGCAAATTGTGTAGATACCCGTTTCCCCATAATCCTAGGGGTGCTGTGACCACAGAGCTTGGCACTCCTCTCCCCGCAGTGCTTGCCTTCTTCATGCACAAAATAGTTGCTTTAAAAAGTTACTTTAAGCCCGGCTGGTGTGGCTCAGTGGTTGAGAGTGGACCCATGAACCAGGAGGTCTCAGTTCGATTGATTCCCGGTCAGGGCACATGCCTGGGTTGTGGGATCCATCCCCAGAGTGGGGCGTGCAGGAGGCAGCCAATCAATGATTTCCCCTCACCACTGATGTTTCTCTCTCTCTCTCTCCCTCTCCCTTCCTTTTTGAAATCAATAAAAATATATTTTTTATAAATCAAGGAAATCAGAAGGCAGGAGGACAATGGCTGCTTTCGGCGGGAAGCGTAGAGAATGCTATCATAGAGGACGCACAGGGGAATGTGAAGGCACCGGTGATGTTCTGTTTCTTACAAGGGGGTACACACATGTATATGCATTATATGCTGCATGTATGATACATTTCACAGCAAAACGTTAGTGTCTGAGAACATCCCAAAAATCTGAACCTAAAATTTACAGCTCTGCCTCTGCTCAAATTCACAAGTAGAACAAAGAAGAGACACAGAAAGTGACAGAAGCTGGTAGAACAGACACGATAAAGGAAGGACAAAACATCTGTCTCACAATTAATTAGGGAGGGAGGTCAGGTTGCGGCTCTCCGCTCCTTCCAGAGACTAGAGTAAGATGGCTCTTCGGAAAACTGGGTTCAAAAAAGGGAGCGAGAAATCCTGATGACCTACACCCGCCTCGCTCCGGGATGGCGTGGGTGTCTAGGTAATGACGAGTCTCCCAGTGTCTGCAGTCGGGGTGGGGGGGGGGGGGGGGG